CCCCCCTTTGGGAATGGCCAAAAGACACTTCAGTCAAAAGCACTGCCCTGGCATCTTGATATAACCGTTATTGCGTTTATAGTTTATTGTGCTTAAACGTGACAACAGCCTTATTTACAAGCACCTATTTATTTGTTTGTTTGCTTATTTGTTTGTTTGTTTGTTTGATCGGTTCTTTTTTGTCTTGTTTTGGTAAGTGTTTTATGACGCTCGCAACTGCATGAGCGCGTGGGACACATTACGAATTTTCAATTCGGTAGGGATTAATTTAGAATTTTACACGGATAGCGGCGAAATCCTACTCCCATCGATTTTGTTTGAGTAAAAACAACCACATAGACACAGGGGACTCTCATGGTCTAGAGGTTATGGTGTTTGCTTTTCATTCAATAGGTCCCGGGTTCGAATCCGGACAGTGACGGAACATTTTCTTTTCTAAAATTTATCCTTTCCCCTCCTCTCCTGCTCTCTAACCATGTCATGTCGTCTGATTTCGTCTCCACTCCCTTTTACCCCCTCCTCTGGGCTACTGACTCCCTTTGCCTTTCTACTGCTACTCCCCAGCTCCTTCTCGCAGCTGTCTTTCATCCACACCCCTGATCCTACGGCAAGTAAGATCTACCACCTAGCCTTCTCGGATAAGGGCGAAAAATCTCGGAGGTCCCATGTGCAAGTTGTGCTCGTTCAAGACCCTTTGGTGGTCCTACAATCAATAAGAGTAGGTTTCGGCCGCCACCTGGGCGAAATTCCGAATTTCCTACCAACTGAATGTGTCCCGCGCGCTCATATTATGACCTTATGCAGTTGGGAGCGTAAAACACTTTCAAAAATTATTTCTTTTAGATAGACACAATATCAGTCACTGAGTGATCGGACAGAAAAAGACAGGTGGGCAGCAATAACAGAAAGAAAAAAATACAGAAATTTTAATAAGACCTTCCGATGGCGCGCTACAACCACCCGCTGCAAGGAACTGATCACAACAGTAGAAGTAACATTGAAAGGGAAATAGAAGGAGTAATTTTGTAAGGCACATTGGATGAAAGCGCCCTTCAACCTTCTGGAATGTCATAGGATTTAGTTGTTTTTGTTTGTGTTCATTACTCTCTTGTAGCACCTCTGATCTACGTCACTTATATGACCCAAATGTGTTTCAAGTGCCGTAGTAAAACTCCAACTAAAACAAAAACCTATTTTTAAGAAACCAGAACAAAATAACGTTCGGTGAGAGCACCCGAGCAGAGAAATAAGTGGCGAACCATGACCACTGATGTGTACTTTCGAACTAGCATTTGAAGAAGACTGCATGGCGTGTCAATGTCTTGGTGAAAAGTGATGCATCACGGTGAAATCAGGCGCTCGTCAAAATATCCAATCGAAGAAAACAGCATTTTCCCCGCCGGTTTGGCAATGATTATTTTTATCAAATTTTTTGTTTTTGGCTCAACACCTTTTTTATCCTTCTGAAATTACCTTCCTGTGTGGATTTTATAGGAAAACATCCTTTAAACGCACAAAAATGTAAATTTTTAGTTTTCAATGCCCCTAAAGCTATGGAAATCCCCAAACTTTGGAGGCCATTTTCTCGCTAATAACCTCTGAAATCAGGCGACCCCCCCATCTCCGTCAATTGTAAATATTTCGACTTCTGCTCAAGATCTCGAGGAATGGGTATAATTTTGTTTAAAAACCGAAAGCAAGATAAATGAACAAGCTTTAAGATGATACCAATAACTCCGCTGGTCCCAAAATTGATGAGCACTTGATTCCACCATGTCGTGACAAAATATGGTCGTTGTCGTGGCAGCTCAAAGTAAACGAGTACTACTTTCCATCAGACAAATTAATAATGATGACGTCACGAAGGACAACACAGTCACAAACTGAAAATCGTGAGGGTATCAATATTGAACGCTTGTTGACTCATAACCGCATTTCTGTCCAACTGTTGGTTGATTATTGTTGTTTGATTTCCCATTCCACAAACATAACCATAAACCACTAGTCAAACAAATATGAAGTCATATGAATTCGCAAGCTTTTAAAATTGACGCCTTAGCAGTTTCCAGTTTGTGACTATGCCCGTTTTCCCTGTGTTCTCGTTGCCTGCTTTAAAAAAATTCAGATAAAGAAAACAGAATTCAGAAATCTGGAATGACTAACGAAGTTCTTCTTTTTTTCTTCTTTAAGTGTTCCAAAATAGCAGGCATTGTACAAGGTCCAGAATGCGCTTCCTCGATGAGTTAAAGGTCACGGAAGGTCAGAAATAACAAATAGAGATAATAATTGAGCATAATTTTCACCTGGGGTACTCGCAAAACAACCTGCTAACCACCTGCCCACCCAAAGACTGGGTTCGTGTATCTGTCACATTCTTTGCCTTCATCCCCCCTCTTCCCAATGTACACACGTTGAAATCTCACCTCCCTGTCGAGGTCACTTTAGTCCCTCCCCCTCCACCCGCCCGCTCCCATGCCTAAGCACACCTCCATCGTTAATTTACCCTTGTCTGACCACCACGCGAGCCTAACCATGATACATGTAACAGGAGTGGAGAAAAACTGAAGTTACAATGGACCCAGTAGCTTTCCTCCTCCTCCTCCTCCTCCTCCTCCTCCTCCTCCTCCTTCTTCTTCTTCTTCTTCTTCTTCTTCTTCTTCTTCTTCTTCTTCTTCTTCTTCGGGGGGGGCTCTCGTGGCCTAGAGGTTAAGGTGTTGGCCTCTCATTCAAAGGTCCCAGGTTCGAATCCGGGTAGCGACCGAAAAATTTTCTTCTCTAAAATTGTCTCCTTTCACATTCTTTCCTGCTCTCTAGCAATGTTCTGTTGTCTGCTTTCATTTCCACTTTCTGCCCCCACCCCCTCACCTCCTTTGCCCCCTCCTCTTGGCTCCTGGCTCTTTCTGCAGCCTTTCCACTGCTACTCCTTGGCTCCTCCTTACTGCTGTCTTTCAGCCACACCCCTGATCTTCTGGTAGGAAAGATCTACACATAGCCTTCTCGGACAAGGGCGAAAAATCTCGGAGGGCCCGTGTGCAAGTTGCGCACGTTAAAGATCCCTTGGTGGTCTAAAATCGATAAGAGTAGGCTTCGGCCGCCACACGGGCAAAATTCAAAATTTCCTACCAACTGAAAATATTAGGTGTGTCCCGCGCGCTCATATGACCTTATGCAGTTGCGAGCTCCGTAAAACACTATACAAAACCAACCAAAAAAATAATCTTCTTCTTCTTCTTCTTCTTTTTTCTTCTTCTTCTTCTTCTTCTTCTTCTTCTTCTTCTTCTTCTTCTTCTTCTTCTATTTCCTCCCATAATTTAACGACGCCTTTGTTTTGTCTATTATTCTCCCACAATCTTCCCATTTTCTACTGTTATGTGCCTGTGGGTGCAGCTGTTTGTAAACTTCACTAACGTCTAGAAGTTCGGGATTTTTAGTTTGATTGGACTATGGTTCTTTGAACGTTAATTAGAACAATATTTTACAGTCAATCCTTGTGTCCTGAAAAGCTGCAGGGGTGGGGTGAGGTGGGGATGCTCCACCCTCACATTGAACCAGATTATGTTTAGCAGGGTAAATTTCCTCAAGAAAACTACTATTTCTGTGGGCTTTTGCTGCCCCTCTTTACGTTTGCCGCACACACGACGAAGTTAACTGAATATTTTCTTGAAGCCAACCAGGGCGTCATTTGTGTCCACATCTCTCTGTCCTTTCCTTACTTTTTTGCTTCATCATCCACCCTGAAAGCAGACAATGCCCCTACTCTTTCCCTGTCACATTTCTCTGTCTGTCTGTCTGTCTCTCTCTCTCTCTGTCTCTGTCTCTCTCTCTCTCTCTCTCTCTCTCTCTCTCTCTGTCTCTCTGTGTGTCTCTCTCTGTCTCTCTGTCTCTCTCTCTCTCTCTCTCTCTCTCTCTCTCTCTCTCTCTCTGTGTCTCTCTGTGTGTCTCTCTCTGTCTCTCTGTCTCTCTCTCTCTCTGTCTCTCTCTCTCTCTCTCTCTCTCTCCCCCTCACACCCAACACAGGTTTACCCGAGGTGGAGCTGTGGGCTACGCGGAGAACACGACAGAGCAATGGCGCTGTCACGGGTCAGTAACGAAATGCATGGAGCCTTGGTCGGCTCTCAGCAGGCCCCTCTGTAAAGGTGTGTGTTTGTGCGTGTGTCTACAGCGCTTGAGGACAGACAGACGAGAAAAGCGCCCCATTAACGGTCCCAGTTTCATAACTGCATTCGTTTGAGGACTGCTCCCGGGTTGAAAACGTACCTCGTGTACATCGTGCTTGTGCGGAATTACTATACCCCCGACTACGGCCAGGTATGTTAGGCATTCATAATCATATTATGTATGGTTTAGTTTTCGTTAGGGTTTTACGGCACTTGCAACACAATAAAGTAATATAAGTGCCGAAGATTCGAGGTGTCACAAGAGAGTAACAAAAAAAAAGAAGGAGGGTAGATAAAGACGATAGATGTTTGATAGTAATGATAGGAAAGAAGAAGCAAACCCTACCAGAGCATCCACCATCCACCCAATCATAATAATATGTAAACACGGTGTTTCATCACAACTTTATCGAAGTACTTGGGTATTTTCAATCACGCCGTGATTTAAGACGATTTAAGTCTTAGCCTCAAAGCTGTTTTCCCTTCACAATTTACGATATTGGATGCTTTACGTGTACTCGTTAGAGCGAAGTTGCTGGGTCCTCATGCGCCGTAAAACCTCAACTAAAACTAAATAACGATAGATTTCACAAATTTTGTTTTTGTTTGATTTATTTCAACGAGTAGCACACATGTGTCGGCCTTCCAATCTCTGGGGGGGAAATCCCGATAGACCTACAGACAAAATGACACACAGCAGTTGATCGTTAAAAAATACGACATACAGAGACAAACTCAAACCAAATGCTTGCTCTATTAAATACGTAGAGCAACTAAATTACTGCAACAACCAACGAATTAACGTGTTTTCTGTCAGAATAGAAAGCATCAAATTTTGTCTATACATTGCTATTGTGTGTAGCAATTTATGGGTTCTTATTTGATATTGCTTATAATTTGTTCTCAATACAATGTTATAAAAGCTACCAGAAGAGACAATATAGGACACTCGAATCGACATACAGGTTTTGAGCTTCTGGCTCTTACTGAAAAATAGAAGACGAAAGAAGCATAGGTAGATCAAGAACTACTTTCTTAGAGTATTTCAACCGACGGGTGATGAGGAAAATACCAGGATAACATGGGTATTGGAGGGTTTTCGATCAGCGAAGTGGGCTGAGAATCATGATCGCCGATGTCAGTTCCAGACCTGGCACAGGAAGAAAAAGTTTTTCATCTCTATATATGTAATTATACCCTATGTTGTAGTTATCAATGTGATATTTCTTATCTCTCAAGTGTGATATCAAGCAGATTGGACACATTGTATACTGTTTGTTGTTGGGGTTTTGCTTTTAAGATAACCCCCCCCCCCCACGAAAAAACAAACAAATAAACAACCCACCTCACATGGAACTGGTGGCCCTTATACATAAAAACATCGTAAACGAAAAAGAACAAAGAAGGAAAAAAAAAACGAAAGAAGAAAACAATAGAGTGACAGACGGAAGCCACACAGAGTTTATGAATTGGTAAGGCCACCCGCGGGCCTCCTCAGCCATTAATGTCGGTGTTATTGTTGTGACAATGTATGAGCCGTATTAATCTACCGTGATGTCTATCAAACTAAAACACTTTCCAATTTGCTTTGCCTCGCTTACGTGTACATTATATGGGTGGCGAAAGATCTGGTCAGCTTGTTAGTGTTTGAGTGCTTAGTCGGCAGTTTGCACTGTTTGCTTTCCGGGATGCCGAGAATGTTTCTGAGCGTTCTAGGGGTCTGTTGGGGTAGTAATAGATCTGGATTGCAAAATGCATAAAGCTCGCTGTTGAAGGGGGTATGCTCAATGCTAATTTCTTCTTCTTCTTCTTCTTCTTCTTCTTCTTCTTCTTCTTCTTCTTCTTCTTCTTCTTCTTCTTCTTCTTCTTCTTCTTCTTCTTCTTCTTCTCCTTC